ATATTGTTTTTTGCAAATTATGAAAGATGGAATATTAAAGTATAATTATGTGTTTTATGATAGAGTTTAATGAGTATATTAGTTGATAATTCAGGATATCATATTTTAGTTAATCATGATTTAATGTAAATAATTTTAATATTGTGAAAGAGTGTATTGGAGTTAAAAATACATTTGATATTTGATGCACTGATTTTTAAGAATAAAGATAAAATGCAGTTCATTTGGGATTGGTTTCTGAATTGTTAATTTCAGCAAACTTTTGGTCTGCTTTGAGTGCAAGTTCATTAAGTATATAGAGTAGAATAGTCTTTTTGAAGGTTGCTGTATATTGTTGGTTTGGTTGAAAGATTATGTAGTCTAGAGTAAATAGTATAGTTTTAGGAGTTGAGTTGTCTTTTGAAAATGCTAGGAAGGTTTCAAAGGATTTGCTGAAAAAGTAAATTAATATATTTTTGAAAATATGTTCTGTATCATCAGATAGAAGCTTGCAATCTTTGTTTTTGCATGTATGAACATAAAAAAGTGCAGCTTTAATGGTTAAGAAAAAGCAATTTTAGAGAGAAATTAGTTCTATGATTTTAAAATCTAAAGATAGAAGTTTTTTGTATTTCTTAATAAGTGTGGTTGCAATTTGATATTTAATATAGTTTCTGACTTTATCTTTATTGATTTCTGTAAATTGTTTTTGGTATACTTTAAAAAAGTCTGAATACTATGTATTAAAGTTTTGGATATAAAATTTAAGTAATATAATTTGAAAGAAGTTAAAAAATTTAGTTTTAGAAATATTAAAAGTAACAGTAATAGTAAATCAGTTGTTATTATAGATACTAAATAGAGGTTTTGAAGCATCATATTCAAAGTTGTATTTTATTAATAGTCTAAGAGAATAAAGCTCTAGTTTATTAATAAATTTTTGATAATAAATTATTTGATATTTGTTGTAAAGAAATAAGTATAAATGGGCAAAGTTAATTACCATTTTACAATGATCAGAAATTGAATGTAGTGGAATTGAGTAATAAAAACAAAAAATATGTAAGTAGTTTAGTTTGGTAAAAAGAAGTTCAATAAATTTAGGAAGTAAATTTTTAAGTGTTGAAGTATATGCATATTGTAGAATATTAAGTTAAGAAGAAGTAATAGATTTGATTGATGAAAGAAATCTGTAATAAATTCTGGCTTTTTAGCAACTATTGTTTTAAACAAATAGTTAAAACTTTGTTTTTTAAGAAAGTTTTTGGTTTGTAGTTGTTTAAATATTATTTGAAATAAAAAGAATTGGTTGACCAGAAGTAAATTTGCAAAAATAAGTTTTTAAGAAGGTAAAAAGTTGTTGAACAAGTATTGTATTAAGTTTGATATTTTGTTTTATGTTTTCTGTAATTGGATAATTAAAGAACCAGTCCAAATCTTTAGAAGTATCCTAAATTGAATTTGTTGTAGTTTTTTGTTGTTATTGTTTCAAAGAATGATTAGAATTTTGTTTTATTTCTTTGTTTCTAAGAACAAGTTTTTGAAGAAAATTGATTTTTTTTTCCTTATTAAGTTTGTAAAAGTAGTAAAAATAGAAGATAGAGCATTGTTCTTTTGTAAGTTTCTTTTTTTGAAGAAGGATTTTAAGTTTAGTATATTGGAAATTGTAAACACAATCTTGATGAAATAGGAAACCCTTAAAGATTATAACTTTGAAATAATTAGGTGCATGTCATAATTCTTGAATAAGAACACATAAGATATCCTTTTTTTTATATAAAGTACAAGAGTGATAGTGTTGTGAATAAGGAATGATTATTACTGATGATTTGTCTGTATGAAATAAAGAAGATGAAATTTGTGAGTTTGATTAAAGATTTTGTTATTGTTTAGTAATAGGTGATTTAGTTAATTGGTCAACAATATTGTTAAAATAGTTTTTGAAAATAACAATAGTTAAAGAAATATCTATTACAATAGAGGTTGAGATTTGTTGAGAAGATGTAATATGATTAATTTTATAGTATTTAGAAATAAAATTTGTGTGGAATTTGCTATAAAGACAAGTAGATAAAATAGATTGAGTTGGCATTTTAAAATAGTGTTGTTGTTTATTAGCTTCGCATTTTAAAAAATTAACATCTTTTGACAAAATGTATAGAATAAGTAGATTAGATTCTTTGGTACCAATACCAAATTAATCTGAATATTTGTTGTAATAATAGTCTAGATCATGAGAATCAGGTTCAGTAATTGTTAAATTAGATATTTTAGTTTGTTATTTTTATGTTATTATTAAAGAGCTTGATGATAACTTCAAAAGAAAATAAAATTTTATTTATGTAATATTATATTCTTTGTAATACTTTTTTGTAATTGGAATAACTGGAGCTGATGTAGCTGAGGTTGGTGTGACTTATGATATAATATGTGGCTTATGTAATTTTTGCTAAAAATAAAATAAAGTATACATAAGATTGTATATTTTTAGAATGAATACAAATTTGTAATTATTTGTTTTGTGTAAATTAATTAAAACCTTAAAAGGAAAATAATTATAAAATAAATTAATTAAAACCTTAAAAGGAAATTAATTATAAAATGATTATTAATTGATTAACCAGTAAAATTAGGTGGTTTAAAATGTGTTTGAGGTCTGAATTTGAAGAGGATAAGGAGAAAAAAACTAATTTTTTAAAAAAATTTAAAGAAAGTAGTTGTTTAGAGTTTTTTAATTATAAAATGATCAATTTTTAACTGTTTTAGATAAAACTTATATCAAAATAAAACCTGAAGTAAGCTGAAAAACTTTAACTTAGTAAACAAGACAAGTTTTCTAGACTAAATTTGAGTATAAGTAGTTTGAGATTGTTTTTACAGAAAATTAGTTAATTTATTTAATATTTAAGCTATTGATATAAAATTTTACAAGTATATATAATTTTAAAAAAAGAACAATTTTTTTTTTTTTTTATAGTTAAAGTCTCTATCTTGGGAATGCAATATTTTATTCAAATTTTGTTAGAAAATGGATGCCTCTAAGAGCTTCCTTACATTGAAAGTTACAACTAGTTATATATGTACTTTTGATGCCTAATTTAAGTAGTCTGTTTATATATTGCTATATAAGTTTTATACTAGTTATTATACCTGCAAGCCAACTAGAGTTCTTGCCTATTTAAACTCTCTGCATATGCAATCCTTCTTGTATCATGAGAACATCTCAAGGCTACATCCATTCAAGTTCTTGATGCTTATTATTACCCTTAGAACTACTTTATCCTTGATAGAAAACTTATTAAAACTTTTATATCCTACATATATAGACCTAGTTTTATGCAACATGCTATAGTTATTTAATACTTGCAGTCACAGGGGTTACCTGTTTAACTATTATGTTATACTATTTCTACTTTTGTAAAGTTTACTAGAATCCCAGTATCTATTTTCCTGGCATCTTCTTTATTATCTCCTACTAGCTGCAACTCAAAATCATCAGTCTTATTTCAGATTACCAATTCAGATAGCCTGATATAGTATACTTATATATTTTTTTCTTTCAACGAATCTGGTGACCTGATTGGTTATATGTTTCTCTATACATATTTGATATCTGGTTTTAATTTTCAACTTCTATAAAGGTATTTCATGAACTTCAACCAGTCTGATAGTATTGTCAAAAGTTCATAATATCTTTTTATTTAGTGATTTCTAAGTGGATTTCTGTCACCTCGGTTTCTTAGTCTTCTATGCTTAATGATTTTATCATGAGTTTGTACCGAAGTTTTATACAATACTGGTAAACATTTCTTTATGTATATGTAATATTACATTTTCCATAGATGTCTAAGCTTCCAATTTCAGGAGGACCTGACTTGGTGTACCTGGGTAACAACCACATGAGACCAATTGATCGACAGAAGACAGTTACCGTAATGCAGATATAATTTTCAAATTTCATCATAAATGAGATTTGAACCTTAGACCTGCCACTTAGAAGATGACAACTCAATCACTACACTAAGATCACCATTCTCTAAGAAGAACAATTTTATTTAGTTTTAAGAGTGTATTTAATTATAAATTGTTAAAAAAAATTAAAATTTTCTTTAGCAAAATTTTGGTACAATTGATTATTAGAAAGAGTTAGTAATTTATATTTTCCAAGTTTAATATATTAATTATATTGTTTTTCTGTAGTTTAGTATTTTAAAAGAATTGATCCAAATGATTGTCAGAAAGAAATAAGATCAACTAATTAATAGAAAACAGTTATCATAATGTAGATATAATTTTCAAATTTTGTTGTAAATAAGATTTGAACCTTAGACCTGCTACTTGAAGAATAACAACATTTTTTAATTTATATAAAACTTACAAAATATATGTATTTTGATTTTTTAAACAATTTTACTTAAAGTTTAAAAAATAATTTATATAATAAAATTTTGACTTTACTATATATTTCAATCATTAATTATAAGGTAACTTATTTTAAATAAAAGATTTTAAGTATTTAAACCAAAAATAAAAGATAACTTATTATAAAAAATAGCTTATTTTAAGAAAAATACAGTAACATATTACACCTTCTATTTGTAAAAAATCCATGTTATTAGCTAAAATTGAACCTAAAAATTTAGTTTGTTTTATTATAAAAATCTAAAAAATTTTAAAATACATTTTTTTGAAATTTTTTTAATGTTAAAAGTCAGCTTTATAGGTAAAATTTATAATAAACAAGCATAAGTGGGTTTTAATAGGTTTCATGAACCTAAATAAAACCCTCAAATTTTCAGCTTCAACCAATTTCAGCATCATCCTCAACATTAAATTTATATAATCAAGTTTGAATGTTTAAGTGATAATTATGATACTTTTTTATATAAAATTTCGTTGCATTATTCTCGTATAAATGTGAATAGTATATAAGTAAATTATTTTAAATTTTAAATGATTTATATTAAATGTGGTACGTAATGACACGTGTGAACCTAATTTTATACATCATAAAGATCATTTCAATATCTCCTTGATGGGCTAGAAGATCTCCCGCGCCGTCTACTTCCAACTCTATTTCTGTTTGCACCACGGTCTCGAGATTCCCTATCTGTCCCAGAGGCAATACTGATAGGTGCTCTTATGAAAGCAAAATCACAATGTAATGTAGCCCCTAGAAGCTTAGTTCCGTTAACGGCATCAATCGCATTCTTAGCTTCTTTGTAGGTTTCATATTCAACAAGCGCATACCCCTAAATAGCCCAAACACATCATTAAAATGTCAGTACAAAGTAATAAACATTATACTTATTATAGGAAAGAGACATAGCATCAACATACCTTAACAAAACCTGTTCTCCTATCCAAATTTAGATGTAAATTTTTTATTTCGCCGTAATCTGCAAATTTATCAGTGATCTCGTCTTCTGTAGATTCTTCATGAAGACCGACTACCAAAACAATCCATCCTTCGACAGCTGAATACATTTAATGAATAATAATTTACAAATAATGATTATCACATGTAAATACTAAACGCAGCAAATTTAATTGATTCATTACATCTTTGGGCACGTCCAGCGGCTGCATCTTCGTCAGTAGTAGATTCAAATTGATCATATTTGTCACCAGATCTTACGCCATCTCTAGATTCATCTTTAATACAATAATAATTACGTTATCTATCTTAATGAATAATCAATAACTACATAAAATTTTCCTCGTTTACCTTTTGATTCACTTCTGAATCCACGTCCTTTGCGTTTGACCGAGGCTGGTCTAGTATCTGTATGCGAATCAAGAATAAAAACGTAATAAAAACGTAATAAGAACTTTATATATGCGTGTCTCTAAGAAATTCGGTGGCAACAGAAGACAGATCTAAATTTTAATCCGACTAATCAAAACTTGCCAAACTAACAAAAAGTACTTTTTTTTTTTTTTTTTTTATCTGATAATTAGGAACTACAAAAAAGTGTTCGGACCTGTACTAATTTGATAAGCAATTTCACAAAAGCTTAAGTACCTTCGTCAACCATCATAGCATCGTCATCGTCGACGCCAGTGTTTATGTCGATATCATAGCTTTCAGACATTTGTATTATATGTTTGCCAAAAAACCTATTTTACGTAGAATGTATTGAAAAAATTTTTTACGTAGTCGATATTAAAATTTTTTATACGTACCAGAATTTAGAGTAGTAAAAGATTATATCCCAAAATTTCTATTGGCTGAGATTATTCGTACCAATTTACATGTCACCTTCCGTTTATAATGTGACATCAGGGTTTGCATTAGGGTTAGTGGTATTTTAAATTGAGGCCCCAAATTCTTAGCATCATATACCGGGTGTTTGATAAGTTCTCAGACATAACCTTTTTTTTAACGACTAAATAAATTATTGGTATTTTCATTAACATTCTAAATACATTTTAAATTAAACACAATAACTTAAATTTTTACATATTAATGTTGTATATATTTCAGATCAATTCTTGTTTCAGGTGTCAATCGAAAGATTAGACTATAGTTTAGATCAACTAGCTCTCAGGGTCGGGCGATGCTCTAGGTTTAGGTCCTAAATCTTTTAAATTTAGATTTTGCAGTTTTTAAATTTCAGATTCTTTGTTATTCAATATTAGTTTAATTTATAGTTTTTGAGCTTTCAGATCCAGGTAATGCTTCAAAACTAGGCTTAAGTTTTTTAAATCTTAGATTTTGTAGTTATTTACTTTAAAAAAAAAGTAGTATATATTTAATATATAGTTTTTTAATTCTTAAACCTAGGTAATACTTTAGAGTTAGATTTTAAGTGTTTTAAATTTCAGATTTTGTAATTTTTTAAATTTCAAATTCTTATTACAGTGATCTTTTTGATCTTTTGACTTTTATTAACATTTTTTTAGTAATTTGGTTTTATATAGAACTATTACAGTAAGAATGCACAATTAGTTATATATATAATTTTTTTATATTATTTATTTAAGAAGTTTACTCAAAGATTCTTTATCAATTATTATATTTAACATTTTTGTTTGGATATTTTATTTTAAATCTTCTAAACCTTAACTTATATTAATTTCACTAAATCATATTCAGATTATTATCTTAACTTTAGAATTATTTTATTTTTAAGATAAACCTTTTGGAACCTTCTGATATATATTTTACAGTTAACCTAGTATTACTATAATTGAACTAACATTTGCAATCAGATCTAATTATTAAATTACTATGTTTTTATAAAGTTTATTTAAATTTTAATACTACTTTACAGTATATATAAAATATTTTAGTATACTTTTATATTATTTTTAGATTTCCAATTCAGATAGTCTATAAAATTACAATCAGTTTATTAATATATTAGGTTAGGCTAATATCTTTTTTTTATAATTTAATTTTAATAACCTAGTTGGTAGTACCTTTTATTCAAAAGTTCTTGCTTATCTAGTTCTTTTACATTAGTATTTGTTTTATAAAACTAGTTTTTATAGTAGTATTATTAGAAATTTGTACTACTTTTCTGCTTAGATCTTTTTAAATAAAATTTTTATTTTTCAATTTTTATAAATTTATATAATCACAAAGACTTATCTGAAGTTTATATTAACTGATGCCAATTTGTATTCTTTTGTATAATCAGTTATACAAATGCTCTAGACCTGCTAGTCATGCTAGTATAACTGTAATTATAGGTATTTTAACTTAATTATTGGAAACAGTTACTATAATACAAATATTATATAGATGATTGTCCAAATTTTCTTTATTAATAAGTTTTAAACCTACAACTTAATACTTGAGAGTTAACAACTTATCTACTTTACTAAGTTACTACATTTCAACTTTTAAATTCTATAATTATTTAAAAAATAATATATTAAATTTAAATAAATTTAAATAAATTTAAATTAGATTTAAATAAATCTAAATTAAATTAAATAAATTTAATGAGGTTGGATCTTGTAGCTTAGTGGTCTAGATGTTTCTCTTTTATAGACAAAGTAAATAGTTTAATTTTGGCTAAAAATAAAAACTTTGTAATTTACAAAAGCATATAAATATACATAAAACCTTATGGCTAAGTTCATGTAAATAAAAGATCAATATATAAAGAAGTTCTTAGAAAGAAGTTTTCCAATATAAAAAGTTGGCATCCAATATAAGAGAAGCAATAAGCATATCAGAAATAAAAAGAAGATGCACTAGTGAATGATATAATAAACATAAAAAGAAGCTATAAGAAAGAAATAAACTTATTAAAATTTGAACATCTCTAATACTAATATTAGTTTTAGTAGATATGAAATATACTAAAGTTGAATAAAAATTTAAAAGGTAATCTTAGTATTATACATAATAAGTCTGCATCAAAAGTAAATTTGAAGAACTATAAACACTTAGTAATATCTAATAAGATAGTACTTAAATATAAATAGTAATTAGATAGCTCTAACCTAATATGTTATTATAATAATAATATAAGTATTATATATATATACAAATAGTATTGAAAATTAGAAAGTTTAAATAGGAGACTTAGAGGCAGGTTTTAGATATAGCATCTAGTAAATAACCTATAGATAGAACTCTTAATTGGATAATGACTAAAATTATATATATGACTAGTTATAAAAAAAATTTAAAATTTAAAATTTACTTAATAAAAAATTTTTATTATTGTTTAATTAAATAGATTTTAACATTTTAATAATTCACAACTCTTTCTGACAATTATTCAAATACAAAATTAATAAAAAAAAAATAGATTTTCTGTATAACTAATAATAAAAAACATCACAAACAATATTAAAAAAAAGAAACAACAACAAAAAGAACACTAAATAGGCTTAAAAAGAGAAAGTATTATAGGTACTAGTAAAGCAATTATAAAGAAAAATCCAAGTTTTTTTAGAAAATTTAGCAAGCAAACAGGAATTGTAGAGACTGCTATTAACTCTGTATGTTGATCTGTTTATATTATACAAGCAACACATAACAGATTAGGCAAAACAGATATATGCAAAATATTAAAACAAATAGTACAGATAAATCATTTATAGAATAACAGAGAATTAAGATATAACAAGAACATGTAATAAAACATTTTAAAGAAGAGTAAATTGCAAAATAGACAAAAATATACTAGAAAAATATAGAGAGAGTTTGCAAGTAATTTTTATAAGAAGAATATACTGGGCAATAAATAGTGTACACAACAAAGTTTTTTTTAATGAAGTAGGTAAAACATATGCAGTGCCAAATAGAGAAAACAGAATTGTAGCAATGTTTATAGAGCAAAACCTGAATGAAGTAGTTCTTTTACAATTAGCAAGAGAAATACTAAAAAAGACTAAAGAAAAATAATCTAAAAAGAAGCTAAACATAATCATAAAAAGTCAAGATACAAAAAAAAAACAAGCACAATATAATCATAACAAAGAATAGCAAGAAATAGCAAAAATAAATTAAAAAGAAAGTATTGAGCAGAAACAAGAAAAGAAAAAAACTACAGAAAAAACTTAAAAGTATAGGAAAACAACAAAAAAAAACTAATATAGCACAAAAAAAAAAAGATAGAAGTAAGTATAGAAATAAATAATGAAGTATTATCTAGACCTTTTACTCAAAAGCAAAAAATTGAAAAACAAAAAAGAGTAATTGAATAAAAAGATATAGAAATAGATAGCAAACAATCAAGACAAAATATATCAGAAAAAGAAAAACAAAAACAAAAAGAAGGAAACAAAAAACAGAAAAAGAAATCAATATAGTAGAAATAGCATTAGAACAAAGTATATAGGCACCAAGCAGAAGAAATTGTAATCAAAACAACAGCTTAATCACTAATATATCAGCATATAATGTTCCTGAAAAAATAGAAGAGAAGCATATAAAGTATATTAGATAGTCTCTAAAGAATAATATGCATATAAAAGATAGCAAAGAAGTATTCAAGAGAGGAAACCTTTAGATAGAAGTAATTTTTGACTGTAAATATAACAGAAATAAAGTTATATAAAGAATTAGTAGAAAAGAAAGTAATTAGTACAAGATGATACCAGAAGATGAAGAAAAAAAAGAAGACAAAAAAGAGAAACAAAGAGACTATGAAAAAGAATAACAAGATAAAAAAAAAATATATACTAGGTTTTAAAAAAGAAAAAGTTAAAGAAGATGGTAGCAAAAAAGAACCAAACAATAATGAATATGAAGAAGAGAAAAGATTTATCAACAACATAACTTATCTAACAATCTGGAACTTACTGACTAATATAAACAAAAAAGAAGTAAAGTACTGTATATTTGCAGAAAAATCAAAAATATGCAGATAGTATGTATTAAAAAGTTTAAGTACAAAACTTTAGCAGTAATAAAAACACAAAGCAATAAAAAAAAAAATCTTATAATCACTGTCAGCAGATAATAACAAGTTGGTGAGAGTAACAAAAGGAAAAAAAGATCATGAAGCAAGGAAAACATATAGCCAAACTAACAGAATTACCTGAAAATGCTTCAGAAGTCTTAATAGTATAGTATTTAAGAAGTAAAGAAGTAAAGTCAGCATACATCCAACTAAACTAAAATAAAAATCAAAAGAGAACAACATTAATTATATTCACAACTAAGGAAGACATGAAGGCAGCCTAATCGAAACTGATTATATATAACAATTTTCAAGTATATTAGATAAATAAAAGAAAGAAAGAGCCAAAAAGAAAGTTTTCAAGATAAAAGAGAAAAAAGCTAGAATAGATTAAGCCAAATCTTTGATATAGAAGAAAATAAAAATAAAGAAAGAATCAATAAAACAAAATATATATAAGCTGAAAAGATGATTAAAAAGACTAAAAATTAGAAGCTCAAATAATAAAAGAAGAAAATAACAGCCTAAGATGTAACTTTTTTTTTTTGGTATTAAGGTAAGGTTATGCCCTCTAGTCTAGTACAAATCTATTTATACATCATCTATTACTATATATTTTATTTAGACATAGAACTCAGACATATTTATCTGCAATCTAAACTTATCAGAGTTTTGTATTGAGTTCTACTCACACCTAACCTGGATTTTTGTTTCACTACTAATTA